TTTTGGGGTTCAATCCAAATCAAACATGAATTTCACTTTAATTATAAGAAAGAGCGGGACTTTACTTATTCAGAGGGGATGAAAGACAAATAAAGGGATCAAGGGAGTTTTCTGATCAAAGAAAGAGAAGGGGCGTGGTTGGTGTGTCACTAGGTCGGTGGAGAAATCCTTAGGAAAATGGAGGATCCACCAAATTTATAGGAGCAAACAAACATTTTTTTTCCAACCTACCGAAATCTTGAAACGCATAGGCAATACTAGAGTTGGGGAGCTCGGGTTGAACTCGATTTCTACTTTAATTCGAATTTAATATGATATAATTTGGCAATACTAGAGTTGGGGAGTTCGGGTTGAACTCAATTTTTTTTTAATTCGTATTTAATATGATATAATTTGAATTGAGTTTGAATTGACTTACGCAATAAGCAAAGTAAGCCAAGTTGCATCCTCAACCACCAAATAACTAGTATATTCTAATGATGATAAAGTATAGGGAGGTCGGCGGAAGAATAGTCAATCCAAATATTTTAGAATCCCTCCGACTAAATTAGGATTATTCCTGAATTCTCCCAGACGATATGGATTAGTTCAAAGAAAACCCAATCCTCGAGACTCAGCTAACTTTTTAATCCATCACCTTCTGATAAAAAAAAAAAAAAATTTTTAATCCATCTTTTATTTCTACAAACACACCTAACATATATCGTACCAACAATTAATTTTAATGGGATCAATCAAGTTTTGACAAAAAAAAATGTTCCAATCGATCCTAAAAAGTTAGGATCAATCTCAAATAACTCACACTTATTATAATTTCAACATGTTTCGTTGTAACAATTTTTAATTTTAAGAAATAGTTTAACTGATAACAATTATAAGTTGTAAATTCAGAAATTTTGAGTTTGAATATTGACAATTCCTTAGGGTCAGATTATAAAGAATTTATCCATCATAAATACCCTAATTATGACGTGGATAACATGTCTTTGACTGAACTGGAGAGAAAATTAATCGAAATATGTGTAAGTTAACGTGAATACTTCTGACCGTTACTCTAAAAATTAAAAAAAAACATAACTCTCATTGTATAATAATTTAATTACAAAATCAAAAAATAATATTTTGGTACGATAGTTTCAACTAGTCTATAGTTTTCCCCAACCTTAAAAAAGGACCAAATTTTATATATAGGCTGGCCGGCCCTTGCTCAACATCACCCTTTGTTACCAACTACATATTTTGTACGCTTCTTTGAGGACCAATGTCACTTTTATCTCTTTTTTTTTTTTTTTTAAATTTTATGATTTCTCATAGCAATCAAAATGAATCATTTGGCACAGAGGAGGTATATTTGGATCTTCAATTTTGTTCAAATGAGAAATCACTAAACCACTTTCCGAGAGTGGTGATAGATTATCAGTTTATTATGTTTTCAGGCCTTTTGTTGCATGTATCTAATGTTAGATAAGTAATTGTGTGTTAATTTGTGCGTGTCTAGTGTCAAAGAACAAAACGGGTAAAATATAGAGATGGAGGTGAATGTCTAGTCGGGTTAGGGCAACGCACTTTCTCATATGTCTCCGAACCTACATATGCACACATATTGTATACATGTATGTGTTTTCTGTATAGATACACATTTTTATGGGGATCGATCGATATTGTTGTTTGATCAACAAAACTTATAGGGGTGTCAATGTCATTTCAAAAGAATAAAAAGGGTGTCCCAATAATTAGAACAATTTATAAGGGATGTGATTGTAGATTTTTTTTTAATTATCAGACAAAGTTTCATGAAATCACTCAATTTTTTCATATACTTTGACAAAGTGACTAGATTGTTTCATCATACATGACCTTGGCCGGTCATAATAAAATGTTAGGACCATGATGAAAATAGCAAAACAAACCCATTTCAATGTTTTTTTTTTTTTTATCTTTATAAAAAAAAATATACACACGATGATGTATAGAGATAATCTAATTTATTTCTAACGAGAAAGAAGAACAGAATCACGAGTGTAGAGATATACAACTTCTAAATCCTAAATCACTTGGACAAACACAGCTACCACAATTGATTGCTTGTTTAAACTAGTGGGGTTTATCTTTGCAAAGAAAGGCAATTGCTCAAGGCATGCAAGTTATTTTTGGTCATCGTAATGAGAATTATCTCAATCATGTGTTTTTTAGGCTCGTGTTTATAACATAAAATTTTGTATACACATAATAATCTGTAAATTATGTATATCGATCAATCCCAACTTTATCCCGTAAAAGATACTCAAACTTAGAGTTATGCGGATTATGTCTCATCTGTTGTTGGTGGCATGCATGCTTATTTCAAATGAAAATAAGCTTGGGCCCTTATCCTCGTAGACCAAGGGCAAACACTCATCGTTTATGATGGCATGAACTACAACAGTATCTAATCCTGTTTGCAGGCTTTGATTTAACATAAATTCTTTTCTAAAATTAATTGAGATTCTGGTCCAGCCAAAGACACCTATCCACGTTGGGTTTAGGTATTTATAGGAGATAAATCCTTCATGGTCTTGCCAAGATTCGAACTCAATACGTCTGAGTTTACAGTTCGTTCCTGTTATCACTTGAACTACCCCTTAAGATAATCAACATGCGTATAAACTGAACTGGACACACATCATTGAACCAAAATAAAACTAACTGAGATTCCACCAAGGTTGGTGAAGTGTTGACCCTAAATACGTATTTGATTTGGCTTCCATCAATTGCCTTAAGTCAATTATCAGCATCATTTTTAATTCCGAATCCCAACTGTCCCTTAGAAAGTTTATGCTTATTCTACTCATAAACTAATGCATGCTTAAACGACCCAACAACTACGGTTTACCATATTGTGTCATCCCTCTATCTGATAAAGAAATCTACCCAATCTTATACTTTTTCTTATGTCCTGTTTTAAATTATTGGTTTGAGTTTCATATCGGTTCAATTATTATCTTTTGTTCGAAATCGGTTCAATCATTATCTTTTGTTCGAATTTTTACTATAAATCATGATAAAAATAAAATTTTGCACAGTTACGAAGAAAATATCAGATCTCCTACCGTTGTAGGGTAACTCATACTTAAACCTCTCAACCATACGTTTATTTTGCATTTCTCCAACGTTACACACTTTTTTTTTATTGTATGTTAAGTTATTAGTTTGAGTTTCACATGGATCCAATCGTTGAATTATGTCCAATTTTTTGCAACAAATTTAGGACAGAAATGAAATTTCACGCTGTTGAGGTGAGAAAGACCAGATCTCCCAGCGATGTGAGATCTCATTTTTTCCTACATTTGTTGTGAAAAATCGAACAAAAGTCAATGAGTGGAACGCCGTAATACTCAAATCAATATTTTAAGGCCCAATACAGGAAAACGAAAAATTTTGAAAAAAGTGAATGACCGGCATAATTTGGAGGTCTAATTGTAACTTTCTATTTGGCATGAATTTTACTTTTACGAGTTTTGATTGTAAATCGATTGACCAGTTAAACCCGTTTAATAAATGGATCAAGACTAGTCTATTTAATATTATTTATATATGATACATGGCAAACACAGAGTATTGTAACTCCTGCCAAACAAACAAAAAAAAAAAAAACAAAGTGATTAGAAGTCAATGCATGACAATCATTTTCTAAGAGAGGGAAGACAATAATCAATGAAATGACCAAGAGAGAGGTGGGATCAAGCTAACCTAATCACAGCACGATCATATTTCTTATCTAAATGTTAGGTGGCAAAGATTAAAATTTGTATATAAAATGAACGATGTGGTGAAAGCAGGACCTGCCCACAGATTCATCTGTCTTTCTCAGCTTTTCTTATATCGGAGGCTTAGGTTGATTTGTTCTAGAAATGTAATGTGATTTCTTTTCATTATAGATTTGGAAGGATTAATTTGTATATGGTCTCAAATAAATTGTTTGCGTGACTTGAATTCGTGATATCCAGTTTTTTTTTTTTGTCAGGAATATTCGAGTTAACTTAAGTATACCTTCAATAATCTCATTTTTAGTCTAGTTAAAAGTATGTCATTCACACCGAGAGATCAACCCAATGAACTGCCAAAAAGTCAATGCTTGTGTGTGTGTGAGAGAGAGAGAGAGAGAGTACAAAAAGTCCTAATGTGTTAGGTGGAGATGGGAAGGGAGGCACTAAACTACAATAGAACTAATCTCAGACAGAAACAACTGACATGTAAACAAAGCTAGTATTGGAAGTAACTACTTATTTTATATTTTGGTTTTCAAGGGCTAACATTTCGGTCCCCAAGGAGGTATGATACTAAAAATTGAACCATTTTTAGTCAAAATATTAATTTTTAGGATCCATCTTGTAATATTGTGAGTGATCTTAACAACTTTCATTTAATGCAAGAGATGGTTCAAGTAATAATAGAGACGAACTCAAAATCTATACGTCTTAAATTCAAATCTTGTCAATCTTTTGACACCAAGGCATGAGAGATTTTTCTCATAAATTCTCTAGTCATGACGTAGATGACATGTCTTTAACCGAACTAGAGAGAAGATTAGTCAAGAAGTGCTCGTAAGTTGGTCCAAACATCTTTAAGCGTTAAACCCCATGTTGTGACTTGACCAAAAAAAAGTTGTATCTTAACCCAAAATTTATAAATCTTTTGGTATTACAAATAACTTTTTTTTTTTTGATACAGTACTGAAAAGTAAATTTTTGATACTGTAATCTTATTCTTTCTTAAAACAACGCAGTCTAGTATGTATAATATACTTTTTTTTGCTGCGGATTCAAAACATGGTCAAATATACATTTAATTTTACCTATGCATGTAGAGAAACTGTTTCCATACTTTGAACACAATAATTTAGATCGTTGTTACTCTTACTTTCTAAATTATATTCTTTCAGTAGGTAGGCATTCTTTCTAGATTATATTTATTCCTCAGTTGGTCTATATAACATGCTCTGTGAACCATCTCCCACATTCTTACCTCTTCTGCATTCTTGAGCTCACCAGAAACCTTTCAGACATGGCCATGGCAGCTGCTCTCCTTCTTCTCCTTCTCGCCGCCCCGGCAGTCTATGCTGTGCAGCACACTGTTGGAGGCAGTACTGGCTGGAACACCGGTTACAACTATGTTACTTGGGCTGCTGGACAGAGCTTCGCTGTCGGGGACACACTTTGTAAGTTGGTTCACCTTTAAAGTCTTGTTCAAATTTGAACCGCTAAACAGAATTAAGCTTATTATTAACCAAGAATCGCCTTAACCACATATTTTATGGATTAATGTGAATTCGGATATAAACGGTCATGATCGTGTGCAAGCCACGAATGATCTTCTTTTTAGAGTTTTCATTAATTATTGGGCATGTAAATGGAGTGGAATTCAACCCGAATCCAATCCAAATTCGAATCTGTTTAAGCGGATATGAATAAAATTTTTAGTCCATTAATTCGATCTGAATCTGATTAATGTTGGTCAAACGGATTCGGATTTAGATTTATAATAATTCGATTCGAATAAAAAAATATATCACACATATATTATACTTATACTGAAAAATAAGTAAAAGTGGAGTGAATATCATAATATAAGACCCCACTTTTTCCGTTCCCATTTCTTGCTTTTACTTTTACTTTTTTTTCCTCATTTTTTAGTTTATTATCCAAATTTTTATTATTAATTTTTTTGTTTACATATGCTTTTTTGTGATAATCGGATCGGAACAGATCGGATCGAATCAAATTTTCGAGTCACGTATCCAAAAATTAATAGATTTGAACATGGATCATCGAATAATTGGATTGAATTGAATTAGTAAAAACTTAATCAGATTCGGATTCAAATTTAGAACAATCCGCTCCATACCTAATCCATTGACAAGCCTATTCTTTATATTGCATTCACTTCAATGGATCTGTTTGGGTCATTAAGAATTTATTTATCTTTAGGCCACCTTTAGACGGCAGTAATTTTAATTGGAAATGAATATTTCATTCCTAATAACGAGACACCTGAATTTCAATTAACAGAGTAATATCATATTTAGTATTTGGTTATTTTTAGTAATCTTGTGTTTAAATTAATATCATTCTCATGTTTTTGTAATGAAGATTTTAATTTTAGAAAAGTTATTGATTTTAGAAAAAAGTATTAATTTTTAGAATGAAGTTAATTTTCGATTAATTTAAATTACCAACTGTCATTTGGAATTTGATTACTCTAATAATCTTATTCCCGACTTCGATTAGTGAATAATTTACTATCTAAATATATTAATCTAGGATTTAAGAATAAAAATCACATTCTCAAACAAAATTACCGTGATCCAAACTGAAGAACAACATAGGGTCGAGCCTGACCCCCCCCCCCCCCCAAATTTTTGTAAATTTCAAAGAATTTTTCTTTATTTTTTTTACATACAAAAAGTGTATTCCTTATAAATTTCTTTATTTCTTTATTGGCTTTCTTTCTTATAACTAACTATTTTCATATCGACATCTTGACGTAGATCTGACTATCTCCCTTGTATGCCAATAATGAAATAGCCTTTTCTTTTACGTTATGTGGTTAATTACATTTTCCTCCCATCTAATTCACCCAATTCCCACTACGGCTTTTAAAGTTTTTTTTCTGTCAATTTATTCTTCCAACTTTTGACATAGAATCAATTTAGTCCAATTAATAGTAGTGGTAGTTAAATTTTTCAAGAAGATTACATGAGACTTTACATAAAGTTTTCCACAAATTAATTGATAATACATAATTAAAATTTGTTTAAAGTAACTATATATGGTGAAATTGATGATCCCCAAAAAAAAAAAAAAACAAAGGACCAAAGTGAGAGTTAATATAAACTATGATGGTAAAAATATAATTAGCCTTGAATTCTTGTGGAGAAGTCATTGTTCCTTGCTTGAGTAGATAAAATAATCTTTATTTTCGAGCTGTAGTGGCTGGTCTCAAAGCTCGAGGGAATAGTCGATGCAAGTCTGAACATTTTATAGCAAAAACAAATAAAAAAATTGTGAATTCCCCATTTAATTATGTATTCACTGATGTCATTTATATCTAATTTGCTGACATAATTTTCATGTTATTGGATGAACGATAAATCCGCCTAATCGTGGAACTCACTATTAACCTAATGATAACAGGGGATTAGGTTAACTAATTAAATCGAAATAGCATTAGTCCTTTGGGTATGAATTTGAACACATTGCTTTGAATACTATCTAACCAAGTTTTATATTCATAAACCAGTGTTCACTTATGGCCCAACCCACAGTTTGGACCTAGTAGGTCAAAGTGACTACACCAACTGTGCCACTGGCAATGCCCTCAGTACTTATTCTGGAGGATCAAACATCATCACCCTGAACACAACCGGGACAGTATACTTTCTCTGTCCTACACCTGGTCACTGTGGACAGGGAATGAAGTTAGCAGTCACCGTTGGCAGTGGGCCCTCCACCAGTCCGCCTGGGACAACCAATTCACCACCACCACCACCACCACCACCACCATCATCAGCCAGTCCTTCTATAGGCATTAACCGTTTGATACTTGGATTGACTCTGGGTTTGGGGCTTGTGCTTGCATTCATGGGCTAGGCAAGAGGCAGTGCTATTCTTATTTCTCACTTTGAGATTGTGTGGTTTGTATAATAAAGAGAGTTAGTTTTATGGATATGATTTACTGGATAATACATCATAGTTCTTGTTTTCATAAGAATCCAGTGGTTGGAGATGATTGTTTGTCATTTTGGTTGCTTTATATAAAAAAGACATGCACAATTCTTAACTGTTTGAGGAAGATCAGATTTACGTAGTCTCACACACACAACATGCAACAAAACTATTCCTGCGCTTGATAATCGTCAATTTGCTTTTCTTTGTTCCTTTTTTCTAGGGTAACCACCTGGAGTAGTGGAGTGAGAAAATATATGATCTAAAAGGAGTTGCAAATAAAATTAAATTAAAAGGCTAAGAGTAGGGCTGATAATTGAACCGAACTATTCGGGCTCGACTTATGTTCTAAACGAACTGAACTTGAACAATTTTTTTAAACTCGTTTAAAAAACGAGCTTAAAAAGACTTGATTCAAGTTCGCAAGACTTGACTCGTTTATATGTAAAATAATCGAATTACTCGGACTCAACTCAGGTTCAGCTCATTTTGGGTTCAACTCATTTTCTAAACGAGTCAAATTTAACAACTTTTTAGGCTCGTTTAGAAAAATGAGCTCGACAGGCTCAGCTCCAGTTCACAAATTTTGGCTCATTTATCGGCCCTAACTAAGAGGGAAGTGAGCCTAAACAGTCAAGAAACTTTGTTGGGGTGAGGGCCACACCATGTCACCCCAAACTGAAACACCTACATCTCTGTAGGACATACATGGATAGGAAGCTTACCATTACGACTGGTATTTGGTTCAAGCACAACATAGGATGAGATTAGATAATTGATACCAATATAATCCATTATCAACAACAATAATCTGTACATCTATTCCCTGTTTGGTTCAAGGTTAGGATAAGGTTTATCTATTGTCCGAATACCAATCCTGTATCCGGATTGGAAACTACCGTTACCACGTATGTGGTGTAATTTGACACACTAGCATGGGCTGATATTAACTCATGTTACAAGATCATAGCCTATAAAATGATCCAAACATAGTATTAAGTTACCTCAGACAAATTTCATCTATCTCACCCCTAATACCAAAACCAAATATGCCCTAATTGACTTCAAAGCTTTCACCAAGTATAGGACTTCAATTATGAAACTTCATTAGAGCTGTATCCCCTTGTCTATCACTATTATCATCAAACAGAAAAGCTTGCTAAAAGAACTTACAGTCTTACACAGTTGATGGATGAGACCACCTTCTCTTTACTTCGGTTTTCCATCGAACCTCCTTGAGTTTCCCATCTACCCCATAATCCCTTTCCATAACAAGGTTTATTCCCTCGTCCGAGTACCAGCCGACTCCAATACAGAGGACACCATCCTTGTTCACGTCCACATAGCCCGTGACACCTCCTGGCAGCCAAAGGACAGTGACATTTTGCATGTCTAGCATCTCCTCCTCTCCAAAGTAAACTGGGTTTTCAGGCAAGCTTCTCTTCTTTAAGGTTTCCGTACAGAGGTAAACGTAAGGGAGACTGTTGCTTTCTTCTGTTAAAATGTCCTCACTGTAGATGGGTGTGGCACTAACCTCAAACACTTTCCAGGACCCAGTCAGTTCTGATGGCTGAACTCTTTTCCTCTGAGAAAATGGCTTTGAGTCCAACTCCAAGTCACTGTTTATAGGTCAAACGTTAGATCTTTTCAGGCACAACAACAAAAAGACTATAAAGCACATTAATATCCAAGCCGATAGAGGTTGGACGCCTTAATGCATTACAGTTACACAACCTAAGTAGTCATTGAAAAGATGTTCAGAGTTTGTTGGGTGAAATCCCGAGAAGAAAAAAAAAATATCAAAAATGAGGTTGAAGGCTGTAAATGATGTTACTTGTTGAGCACAAAATCGTGGGCTGGCTTATCAATGTGGAAGTGGCATCATATGAACAAAGCAAATAATGGTTCCTTACACGAGAAGTTTATCATGCAAGATAATTTCTCAATAAAATAGCAGAACAAGTTTAACAAATAAAACGTAAAGTGAAACAAAAACAGATGCCGGGACTTCGTGTAAGTTGGAATCACGAGACCTTGTGACCACCTCTACCACAAGCACAAACATGCTACCAAGGACATACATGCTCCTACGCATCTACCATAGTGGGATAAAGCATGGAAATACCCTACAAGAAATAAGTTGCTGCATAACTCAAAGTTTGACTTCCACAATGAAGTTCCAGGTTTTGCATAATTCATACATACTTTAGACAAGTAAAATAAAAAGGCATGATTAACAGTATCCCCCATGAATTACAAAAACACCATATGAGGCTAGAGGAAGAGCAATCAGGAAAACAGTTAATAAAATTGGTCATAGAAACATCACCCACAACCACTTCCCTCTGGTGGAATAGTGATCAACAGATATAATGAATTAGTGACACCAAACGCTGCATTCTTGATAAAAGCCACACCAATATCAGTATAAGTCTACAGGATTAGAAGGTAATTCTCCCAGATCTAACCCAAAAAATTGAAACCTTGTAGGATCTATAAATGTTTGCAATCAGTAACTTACATTTTCACTCGTAATAGTATGTTACCCTTCGGTCCGTGGTTACATGGAAACCATAGCCTTCAATTTCAGAAATTTAATGGAAGAAATCAAATAAATGTGTTATATGTTGCAAGATGTATTGTTAATGGAAGATAATTATAATTATACCTTTCTTCGGGGAGATTAGCAGGACTGACCCATTGTTCTTCATAAACAGCAACCCTCATTATCTGAATATCTGAACCCCCATTACTGAATTCTATAGTATGCACAATACGCAGTCTTTTGTGGCAGCCTTTAACCAAACACTAGGCAAGGAAACAAAAGAGAGTAAATGACCTCCTCCATCAGCACAATAGAAAGGAACTAAATTGTTTTCATGCCATTTAACAATATTTGGAAGAATGCTGTGGCACATTTGCATTCCATGGGCTGAAAGAAGGTGCAAAAAGGTGGAGAAAAAGGAAGGAAAGACAGAAATATAAGTAAAATGGGCAAAGCCATTTTGCATTCATTTTGACAGTCGACTTATATGTAGATGATTGAATGGATAACCAACCCAGTCAGATAGCCATAGGTTTCCGACCAAGCAGTGGAAGAAGGCAACCCGGCTAGTGTTCACAAATATATTGAGACATGGGCTACCTTCATAGAAAAGGTTTCAAATGAGACTCAAAATCCAAAGGAAACCCACCAGCAATGGAGTAAACATCTAGTTTACTCTTGAAAATATCCTTTTTACGTGTCGTAATATAAATTTACCACCTTGTCAACTGGAATTCTAACCATCTAAATTCAGTTAAATGCCCTTGTCTTTCTCTTGCTAGAAGCTTGTAATGGGGGGAAAAAAATCCTACAAGGCAGAAGACCCACCCCGTAATGATACATGCCAGCAAGACTAAGTAATAGGAATGATTATTAAACATTTTAATAAACGCATGCGTCTTCTAATCTTTTTCGAGGACAAACCTCACCATGCATGGACATATATCCTGTCTTGGTTAAGCATTGGACAAGAGGGCTATGTTCTAAGACGCTTAACGTGGATTCCATATGACTAGTGAATATTGAATTTGTGCATAAAACTCACAAAATGCAAATTGGTGCATTATACTCTAAACAGTATTTCGCCAACATATCAATCCAAACTTCCAAATGGAGATATCACTGTAGTCATTGAATTATTTTAACTAAAAAGAAGGTTTTTCTTGCACTCCCAATGTCTGCTAACTCCATGTGTAAACCCTCTCTCTACCAATCCTTGAACCCCTGTCCTTACAGGTGAGAATTGCAAATCCCTAACCACCAAGGCACAAGGAGGGCCGGTCACACTTAACTGCAAAGTTCTAATGGAATCTGGTGTATTAGTGGTGGTATGATCGCATTCCTCCGTGTGTAAACCCTACCTATCCACTCAACCTTTATATCTTATTCCCTCGAATCACGAAAACTAATCCTTTACTCACATTAATCTGTCTGATTTATACGTTCCTACTTCCTTCTAAATCAGTCGCAAGTATCAGTGGTTTTACAAGCTGCAATCGGATTGAATATTCATTGTCAAGGGAATCAGATTGGGTTGAAGAAGAATTTTAGCAATTCAATGTTACACTAAATCATTGTCAATTTACAAATTTAGATATTCTAGTAAATTTTTGTACTTGTTAGATAGATAATGTTATTTCTGCCGGCTTACTGCCAATCGATGCAAAGCTCTGACCCCAAAGGCAGAGCAATTCACTATAAAGAACAAAGCTTTTTATAAAGGATTTTCTTTGGTAAGCAAAAGAAGTCATACCTTGTGCAAAAGGCTCCTGCCTATAGCAGAGTATAGGAGGTACATAGCAAACAGTCTTGCCCCCATTTTTTATAAGCATACCATCTTTTCATGTATGATAATTCACAATAACTGCAACAAATATGCTGTATATTTGCAGAGCAAAACACAAAGTGTAAATCACCTCACAAGCATTAACTGATAAACCACTTACCAAACATCCCCCATTTATCATGGCGTGACACAGAGATGTTTCTTCATTTCATCGTTGCTCTATACATCCAAAGATTCAGTACTTATGGTCCATTATATAGACATGCGCACTGCTAGTTGGAAAATGATAAGAGTACTGAAGCAATTTGGTGGTTTTTAGATGTCATGGTTGCTTTATAATCTTTATAGGGTCCATTACTTTGTTTCACTGGAAAACTTTATGCAAGTTCAAGACTAAGAACTGCAATGTTGCGCAAACAATGCTGATAGTAGCCTTTATTGTTGGTTTATTATTAACCATGAAGATACATGGGATAAGAAATGCAAGATATGTGAGTGATATATCAATTATATTAAGGTAGAGCTACCAGTTTGCACCTACTGTAGCCTTGTTAAGACACAACAGGGAAATGTAACATCCAAAATTAAAACACCAAAGGCAAACTCACTTGCTCAAACTTAATAGTCGGGGAAAGGTAGTATTTAGACTCCTCAACTTCGCCAACAGGAATATCAGCTGGACCTCTTGAATAAGATCCATCCTGCAAATTAACCCGATGAATCTTTTGTAGGAAAAGGCAACAAATGTGACATATGGTAAGGAAGAAGAGATGTAGACCAATTAAACAAATACATTTATTACAAAGTGTATTCCATAAACCAGTATATTCCATCTCTTATGTTCTGTTAACAATCCAACTTTTTCAATCAAAGTTATAATTTCTAATAAGATCCCTTGAATACTCTTTTCTCAATTATTAAAATCCAATTTTTCATTTCTTAATACACTAATATGATTTATGCAAAGATTTTAAAATTTAAAGTAGAACTCAAACAGCAAGACCACACCCGTTGAGTTAATACCTCGAAGAAAACAAGACCAGATTCCAAGTCCATGTGATCTTCTTCCATCACATCACTTCTTCCATAGTCAAAAGACTCAAATTTCGGCAAAACATGATTTGTCAGACCTCCACCAGATGCCTCCTTTGTCAACAAAGATGCATCTCCAAGTATAGACTTCTCTCCATTTTTACTGCCACCTCCAGTTAGTTGCTTACTTTCACCATAAGGATTCAATGTCACCCAATTGATTTTCCTTTGAATTTGAGATTTCTGCTCTCTGGAAGGGGATGGCACCACCTCAATGCGGGAAAAAGTATAACAGTCAAATAGATTCTCATTCCTGTTTCCAACTTCAATTGGCTCCATTTCGGCAGTGATCGGTGAAAATACAGCTCCCACTCCCTTCCATATCCCACTGACACTACTGGCAAATGTGTTCCATGCTGGTAGAATTACAGGTTCCTGGAAAAAATACCAATATTCTCACTTGGTCAAAGCTAAATTTGACAAAATACATTCTTGAAATATTAGAAGCGAAGTTAGATGCAAATTATCAACCTTTCCTTGTATATAGCATACTATTATCAAAAGGAAAATAGCAATGGAACTTTCCCACCCTACTTTTAACAGAATAGGAAAACTCTATGGAAAGATGCCGATTCAATTCAATGTTGTTTAAGGGGTTAGAACACAGGTGTGGGCTAAGTTTTGGCTCAAACCAAACTAATTTGAATTTCCAAATTTTGGCCATCCTTGAAAAGCAACAATTATTGAGATCCTAATTTTGCACAAATTTTGATAATTAGATAGACTAGATGTAGCTTAGAGAGCTTATCTGAGTTTAAATTTGACAAACCATTACTAATTGTCAAATACAAATGCAAAGCTTGGGCAATGGTCTAAAAAGATCAAACAAATACCACACACAAAAATAAATAAAGGTTATTTCATTTCCCGACCAAAAAAAGGGAGAAAAATCTAATAGAAAAACAACATCAATAAATAACAACCAACACAAGGTCTTTCATTGTCTATTCTAATCTCCAAATTAGGATTCTCATAACTACTGCTGGATGATAGGATAATACAAAATATAGAACCTAGTAAAGTCTCAAAATTGCTCCATGAAGGAAATCACTAAACCCGTAACTCCCTCCCACCATGCCTCACCCTCCAAAATCTGACTCCACCTATGTCCTATACTGAATTAGGTCAAATTCAAATGTTAAATTTCTGAATCATTCCACCAGATTTCACAAATCCCATGTTTGGCAGTATGGAATCAAAAGCTTGGATAAAGTTGAGGAAAAAAAATTTCCAGTTTCAAACAAATTCTCTCATTTTCATTTCCAATGCTCTCTAACACAAATTGAACTTTCAAAAATATAACTTCTATTTCAACCCAATAGGATAGAGTAAAGTCTCAAACTCACTCCATGAATGAAACAATTCTCTCCCTCCTATAACACACCCTCCAAAATCTGACTCCATCTATATCTCTCACAAATCCTGTGTATGGCAGCATGGAATTGAAGTCTCGGATAAATCCTAACCAAAATTAATTTGGACTAGCCATGACTACCTGCCCCACACGCACACAGAGAGACAGAAACACCAATACACAAATGTCTAAACACAAGGATTTCACCAAATTTCCTAATATATGGTTCCAACCCTTCTAGTGACTTGAATTAAATCACCTGAAATTCTGAATTAAGCCTACCAATGATTAAATGCTACTATATATAGAACTACCTGAGTTTGTAGAACAGTCTCGACCTCCATGAGCATAACACCAGAGACCATAACCCTATCACCTCCACTCTTCTTCACCACCCTCCTCACTCTCTTCCCTTCTCTCTTCCTCCTCCGACCACCTCTCTCCCTCTCCTTCTCTACCACTTTCGCCCTCTCATTATCAACACTCCATACATTGTCCTTCCCCTTCGCTTTCACTCTCTCTCCACTATTCCCTCCGTTTCTCTCCCTGGACTTCCCTCGATTACTGGGTCTACTGCTGAAACTACACGAAACGCATGGATATGAATTGGGTCTACGGATTGATGAGACGGAGGTGAGAGATGACGAGGATGCGGAGGAGAGAGAGTGAGGGTGAGCGTAGAACCGAAGGAATTGATGTTGGTACGATGAGGTTTTGGAGAATTTGCAGGCGTTTATACATGGAGACTGCATTCTTCGGAACAGACCCACAACAATTGCTCTTTCTGAACTATCTCAAAAAACTATTGTGGTCTATTTTGGAATTAGGGTGTAAATAAAATACTGGATTGTATTTTCAAAAAATGGGGAGGATAAATTACATGGAGACCCCCCAAGGTTTATTGTTAACTCACATAAACTCTTTCAGTTACAAAAATTAATATTTAGAGCAATACTACTTGTACCTGATTTCATTTCTTCTCCTAATGAATTACCTTTTTTTTTTGTTTGTTTAATGGTCAGAGATGTTTAGACTACCTTATGCGCACTTCGACTAATTTTCTTTTCAATCTAGTCAAAAATAGACTATCTAAGCTAAAACTAAAGTATTCACGAGGAGTTCTAATGAATTACTGACGCTGAATTCATAGATCCTAGTTTTAGTTAGAATAAAGTTAAACATCCCGAATGAATTTGTCAAATATTATATACTAAATGATTTGGCAAAATTTCATTCATTGAATGTTTAGTATGAGTGATCAAGAGTAAAGGAAAGAAAGATTCATAGATGGACAAAATATTCTTTAAATAGGGCATGAAGAAGCTCTATGGTTGTTGTGCTAGCATAAACTTAAACAGACTCCGCTACTATTGAATGTCCTGTTAATCTTAATGCTACAAAAATAGCTATAACGCAGCGTCAAAGTTAAGAGACTCAGCTCTAACACCTACATCATAGAGCTGTCCAATGACTTGGAAATGAGTCCGATATTCAATCTTGCAGATTTATATGCTGTTATTTTTGGATTGGCAATGGTGAATCAACAAAGTGAACCAATAACATCAACAAATCTAAACTTCTCGGCAAACATAACATAATCTACCAATGCCTACACATAAACCGTATACAAATACTCTTATGTTTTTTTATCTCTCATTTTCTTTGAAATTTTTTTACCAACAAATCATATTTCTAGGAATTTAAACACGGCGACATGTCTGTTAATACTGTCCAATTTTCCTTAATCCTTGCAATTTGGATGGAGCCCATGCAATTGGCAAGACTTCTATGTTGCCGACCAGATCATAGAGTTTTTTGATGATTTGCACCGATTGTTGTTTGTAACTCCTCAAATAATGTCTGAAAATCATTGAGTTTTTGATGATTAGCTTTCATTTTCTCCTTCTAGATATAAAGTTTGACGGTAGTTTTGGGATAATCTAAGCTTAAAAACAAACGACCTCAAACCTTACTCAAATTTTTGTTGGTCATTTGTTTTGGTTAGGTGGCATGTGTTTTGACATATTGTAGCAAAAATTGCAGAATGCAAGTAAGAGGGATAAAGATCAGGCAGGAAGCAACACATTGGTGCTTGTTCGTCTTATTTCCTTTTTAGTTTTTGAGATGAATGTTCGTCTTATTTTTTTACTCGCTCTTTAATTTTACATTGGAGACACATACGAATTTTCTTACTCAATATGTCCCTATTATGCATTCTAATTTTGGTGTTGTGTATGTCTTCATGTTCAAACGTCTATTTTATTTCATTTGATATTAAATTTGTGACCATAATTTTGTATGATTTAATAAGAACAAAATCTTTGCCTTCATATTGAGTAGTAAAATTTCTAAATGAATAAAAAAATGGGCAAATAGTAGTAGTTGGCACCCTGAAAGATTAAAAAAGTTTTAATTTGCAAACTCAAAAATTAATTGTTTCAAATTGCACCCTCCATTAAATAAATTGGTAGCAATGTGATCCAAACCATAACATTTGTTGCGATTTTTATTAAATTATCGGCCACATTAGATGCACGTGATGATTTTTTAAGATTATGTCGTTTCCCTTTTTCACATGTGTCTCACATGTCTGGCAATTTAATAAAAATTGCAATGGACTTTTATGGCTGAGATTGTGATCTTCGTCAAATTGACGACTACGTGAAATGCATGTGATGATTTGTTAGATTATGACCCTTTCCCTTTTCACATATGTCTCTCGTGACAGTCAATTTGTTGAAAATCACAACGGACGTTAAGATTGAGGTCACATTACTACTAATTAATTTAATTGAGCGTGCAATTTGAAATAATTGATCTTTGAGGATATAAATTAAATTTTTTTAAATCTTTTGAAGTGCAAACTGCCATTTGCCCTAAAAATATAGGAAAGATGAATCACAAATGCCAGGACTATAGCTTATAATAGCCTCTTATGCAATCAGACACTCACCCACAGGGAGACAAACATCTATGCATAATTCTATTGTTCTAACCCTTCTACTGACTCTTGATAAAAAAAAAAAAAAAAAACCCTTATACTGACTCAAATTCAGTTCTAACACAATAAAAAGTTGCTTGGAGTTGTAAAACAGCTGTAATTATATATAGAGTTGATAATCGAGTTAAATTATTTGGGTTTGACTTGAACTCGACTCGTATAGAGTTTGATTTGAACTTGACTCGTTTTGGACTTAAATATCACCCCAATCTATCTAATATCACAGTTAGTATGTTAAATTCTCAATTTATAAAAGCACAACAACAATCAAAATTGATTTTATTTTTATCTATTTTGATCGAATGGTATAAAATTTATTCAAATTTTTTTTTCTTGCTGAAAAATATATTCTTCTTCATATGACCTGTAACATTAGACAACTTATTCGACACACGCTTCAATGTCAAACAATCTCATTAATTAATACATACTTCTCTCTTATTTTCTTTATTTTCACTTTAATTTTAAGTTGTGTAATTAAAGGAAATAATGAAAGATAAATTACACAGAGCCTCCTTGAACTTAGGGTTAGTTGGGCATCACCTACTTCAACTATTACGAGTTGCACTTAATCCCCTCTTACTTTTAAATAAAGTGCAAATCATGATAGACCTTGCAAAAAAGTCTAAAATACCCTTTATTTGTCTTCTAATTTCCTTTGTAATGCCATTCATTCCAAATCTCATACACACCCATGCACTCCTTGAAATTTTTTTTCTTTAATTTTTGCTACATTTTTCAATTTTTGTTGCTTACTTACTAGAATGAAGAGGGGAGAGAAGAGAAAAAAAGAGGTCGAAGAAGGAGAAGAAAAACAAATTCGGGTTTGGGTTGTGTTATGGCTTCTAAGTACTTTATTTTTTTTTATATATAAATATAGATATAGATATAGAAAATTATATGTGAACTACTAATAAATGAGTTTAAAAGAATTTAAAAATTAGATATGATTAATAAAAGAGTCTAAAAGTACTTAGAAACCAAATAAGTATAGGAAATAAAAATTGAATGAAAGTAATATAGAATTTAAAAGTCAAATATTATTAATAAAAGAGTTCAAAAAAACTAAGTATAGGAAATAAAAATTAGAGAAAAACAATATATGGGTATCATAGACTTTATAATAAAAATTAGGGATAAAATATAAAATCAAAAATTTTCCAATAGTATAGATACAGATAGATAGATAGAGATTCCGAGTGTAACACTTTTCTAAATTACTTGCACAATACATTAATCCACTAATTTTCTCTATTTTTTTTTCTAGTAAACAATGTTAGGGGAGAATCAATATATCATATCTCAATTTTGTAGGTGATGACAATAAATTAAGTTTTATTCTTTAATAATTTTAATACTTAGGTTCCTTATCCAAGAGTCAGGGACAATGCAAGTTCGTAGTGATAGCCATTGATTACTTCACCAAGTGGGCAGAAGCCAAAGCCTTGGCGAAGATAACAGACCAGAAGGTGAAAAACTTCATCTGAAGAAGCATAGTCTGCCGCTTCGGAATACCTCATGCAATTGTAAGTGATAACGCCAAACAGTTTGACAACAAACTCTTTAACAGCTTATGCGTAGACCTACAGATCAAGCAGCTCCACTCCAGCCCCGCCCATCCACAAGCGAACGGACAGGCAAAGGTCATCGCTAGGACCATCTTCCGCAACTTGAAAGCCAAATTGGAGAGTGCAAAATGACGATGGTTAGACGAACTCCCAAGAGTGTTGTGGGCATATTGGATGGCACCAAGAAGTCCCACGGGTGAGACCCCTTTTTCCTTAGCCTATGAGACAGAGGCGGTCATACCCATTGAGATTGGAGTACACCCCCTTAGGGTCCATCACCATGACCCTACCAGCAATGAAGAAGGCCTCCGTATCAACCTCGACTTGGTAGAGAAGGAGAGGGAGATAGTCATACCAGGAATGCAGAGTACGAGCATCATATGACCAAGTATTATAACTCGATGGTGAAGCCTCACTCCTTCTTGCCTAGAGATATAGTCCTCAAGAAGGTCATCTTATCTACCAAATACTCTCAGGAAGATAAGTTAGGACCTAACTAGAAAGGACCCTACACGATCACAGAAGTTGTAAGACCGGACACCTACAGAATTTAGGATTCTGAGGGGAAAGTTCTAGCACATCCATGGAATGCGAAGCACCTAAATAAATATTACTAGTAGCTGGGCAGGACAATGGGTGCACAAGTCAGTAATCACCACTTAAGTTATTTCTTGTTGTTTTAGTCAATTTTCATTGTTACTTACTTCAAATCATGAAATAAAACTTTGCAATATTTTGTCTTTTTTAAAAAGTCGTTTCTCATTCTATGGAAGTTTGTAAAGCATTTACAAATGATAAAACATGGTCTAGCAACAAAAACACAAATACAAAGATATCATACCCCTGACGTTACTCACTGCTCCCTGATCCACTTTCATCATCGCTCGTTTTCCCATCATCAGTCCCTAGAGCCTCATAAGGGACAAAACTAGAAAAGTCATAAGCGAAAAAAGCTGTTGAGACGTTACCCCTAAACTCCTCATAACCATCAATAAAGGCGTCTACCACGACCTTCTTAACAGCATTCCCTTTCTTCTCCATCTCAAAAGAGTAATTCTCTGCCCTAGTGGCTCTCTCAAGAGCCGCTCAAAGGTCAAGCTCTACTACAACGACCCTCTCACGGGACGCTTGCACCTCTGTCTCTGCTCTTGCGTAGGCTCTCTCTGTCAGCCTCCAGTTGGGCAACCCTCTTGCGGGACGCTCGAAGCTCGGTCTCAAA